GCGCCCAGCTCGGTCGCAGTTGCCAGTCCGCTGGTCAGCCTGGTCTGGCCCATTCCACGGGTCACCGACCAGTCCAGCCTCTCCCGCCGCCCGGCCTAAGCCGCAGGGTCTGGCCGAGGGTCCAGCACAAAGAGCGTACTGTTACTACTGTACTGTAGCATCGTAGAGAGGCTAGCTGTCAACATCTTAACCTCGATTTGTCAGGCCAACCCCTATTCTCGCTACCTCTCTACCTATCTTATCGTCCTATCCTACTGGACGGCCCGATGCAAGGAGGCCTGTGAACCGGTTTTCCGTGGGCGTCCCGATGACAGCCCACGCGTAAAAGAAAAGAAACCCAGAACGACCGGAAAGGACCGTGAAATAAAAGAAAAGGAAAAGGGGGGGCTGTTGGAGCAGGGGTCAGCGTAAAGTTGTAAACAAAAGAGCAAAGTTCGTTCCTTCTGTAGGCTTCCAAGCTTCTTCGATTGCCGCCGAACCGGGAAAGTCGTCAACAAGCAGGAACGCGGCGGGCGTGGTGATCGTCGTCACCCCTTCTCCACACGTCGCCCATCTAACTGATCCCCCAAACAAAGCTTTTCTAGATCCCTGATAGATCATCGCGCCTGAGATACACTGCATCTGCCGCTGGATCGCTGCGCGCGCGGCCCTGCGAGCGCCGCAGCCGGGGCTCTCGCGAGCAGCCAGCAAGAAGTTCGAACTGCTGCGCTCGCACGGCCAGCACTTCGCGCGGCCGCTGGACAAGCCGACTGGGCTCCAGCCCTGTCAACCACGTTGCTGGTGATCCTGTCGGTTGTTCCGGGATTAGGTCCTGGTTCTTCCACCACATTCCGCCCGCTGGCTCGCGGCCTAAGAATAGCCATTCCCGAGCGTAATAACGTCCCTGGTAGTTTCTCGCTGGTGGCGACGCTGGAGCCTTACCGTAGACGGCGTCCCCCGCGCTGGCCAGAAGGCCCAGAACCAAACTCGCCCTCTGCCCGGGGAGCCACCCGCCCGCCTCGCTGGATACATCTTCCCCGGCGTCCTGGTCGCCCTCGTCCGCCGTTGATCTCCCAGCCAGCCCGTCCACCACCACCACATCCACATCCACCGTCCACCGTCCACACGCCCCCCTCCTCAGCCTCTCTCCTCCTCCTCCTCCTCCTCCTCCTCCTCCTCCTCCCCAACCTGCCTCATTCTCTCCCTGTGCCAGTCGCGCGGGTCTCAGTCCCTGTCCGTCCCTCTCGCGTCGACTCAGGCTGGCGCTGATCCGATCCGACTTCCCGTCGCTGTGGTTGCGAGGTCGAGCCGTCTCGTTTGCCTCATCAGGCGTTTTCGCGCTCGTGAGCGACTGGAATCTGACACGCTGCTGGTGGTGATGCTACGACTGGATTGGTAGCGGAGGGAAGCTTTCGCTTCTCGCTACTTTTTGACAGACGTCTCTGAGCGTTCTCTCGTTAGGATTTTTTTTTTCTCTTCTCACTGGACTCTCTTCTTTTCGCGTCTCTTTCTTCGACGGCATTCCTGCGACGCTCCCTGTTTACCATGCGATTTGGTGAAAGGACTGGCCCGCTGAGCTGACTGTGTTGACGGTGTGCCGCCGTTGGTCTTTTGTCGCTGCTTTTTGCACCCCGCCCAACTTCGCACCGGCCAACGTTTGAGGGAGGTGCTCTAGAAACAAAAAAGAACTCGGAGGACAGAAAAGCACGCAACAACACCACCCCTCCTGGATTCATCAGGCCGATATTGGTCGTGGGCAACGGGCACGCTGTCTCAGCTGGGCACCCTCTCCCCTCCCGCGACGCTGTCCACGCCCTCCACCGCAGAGACGGATCTGCTTCGATCTCCGTCTGCGTCGAATCCTCCGTCCGGCAAGGTGGCGGCCCTCGCTGTTCCAGCACCCGGAATGGGTACAGCGCTTGATGCGCTGGCAACTGCTCCTCAGCCGTTGACTGCGCGCCGGCCAGCTGCTTCCAATCTCCCGACCTTTGAACTGCCTCCGCCCAACTTCCAGCTCGCCAACAACCCCGGCAGTCAGAAGTTCCTGTCCCCGCCCAGCGTCAATAATCCTGTCTCCAACGCGAGCGTAGGCAACCCGCTCTCCCCGCTGTCCTCTCAGTCGGGCGAAGGAGCCACCTCTGTCCCGTCGAGCATCCCCAGCACCACCGTCTCCGCCGCGCAGGACCTCCCTTCGTATCCGTCCGGCTTCTGGCAGAGTCAGAATTCCTACAACTACGGCACTTCCCATCAATCGTGGCAGCAGGGTTCGTCCGGGCTCTTCCCTCCACCACGAGGAGGGCTTTGCCCCTCGTCGTCGGGTCCACTGGCGCGGAGTAGCGCCAATAATCCTCCACCGGTCACCGAAAGCATGTCCCAGTCCTACGATCTGAACCAGCTTCCCCCCTTCCAGCAGCAGCCCATTCCCGTCTCGTCTCCAGCCTCCGCAACGCCCGTGGTGCAGCAGCCGCCGCAGCAGCCGCAGCAACAGCAACAAGCCATGGCTCACGCGATGATCGGCGCGCACGGTGGAGTCTCCACCACCTCCGCCCCTTCTCCGCACCAGCTGGGCACGGGCGATCCGTACGGCCCCAAATCGCATTCGGCTCCGCTGTTTGGGGCATCCCCGACCGCCGCTCCCCAACATCAGGGCTCTTATCCTCCGCCGTACGGGGGACCGTCACCCGTCGCGCCGAGTGGGCTAGGGATCCATGGGGCTCCGAGAATGCCACCGGGCTCAAGCCAGTCGCCTCCCGTGCAACCGCCGCAGTTGGGCTACCCTCGGCCCCCGTGGCCGTCATATTCTCTCCCCGCGATGAACGGACCCGTCATGACGAACGTGCACAATCCCAGCGGGCAGATGTCGCTGATGGGCAATGTCCAGCAGGGATTTGTGCCCGGTTTCACCAGCGGCCATTTGGCCAGCATGCAGCATCTGTACGGGGGGCACCCACCGCACCATCCGGCCCATGGACAACCGGCTCCTCACAACGATCGCCCGTTTAAATGCGACCAGTGCCCGCAGAGCTTCAACCGCAATCACGATCTGAAGCGGCATAAGCGGATCCACCTTTCGGTCAAGCCGTTCCCGTGCAGTCATTGCGAGAAGAGCTTCTCACGGAAGGACGCATTGAAGGTGAGTATTCGCGTGTCGATAACATTCTACATAGCTAACTCACTGCTGTAGAGACATCTCCTGGTGAAGGGATGTGGGAAGAATTCTTCGACCGACGGGGCCAACTCGACGTCCACTACCAAAGACGACGATACTCAGACCAAGACAGACTCGCAGAGCGAAAAGGCGAGTCCGATGTCGAACGGACATCGTTAGACGGATACGACTGTAATTTTCCCCTCTTCACCTATTAACCTGTGTTCCACTGTCGGATTCGATCTTGATATCTTATCATCTTCGTTTCCTCTGTACGTACGTAATGGCTACTATTATTCGGACTCGACGGGTGACGAATTTTCTTATTGTACCTTGATTCAAGCATGTGGATTTGCGGCTTTCTGGTGCGTTTTCTGGCGGGATTCGGAAGAAATGGGTTTGTGTGAGTTATGTTGGGCTTGTTTTTCTTGTTTCTTTTCATGTGATCTCGGAGAAAGTTGAACTGTTGAAGCTATGTTACCCTATTCATATTCACTTTCGGTTCCAGTTGATTACCATCTCGTGTACGGATGTATTGGTGAAAAGAGGGTGGGCGAGCAAGACTATAGTCTATTTGCTATGTCGTATTGTCTGTTCTGTTTGTTATCTTGTCGAGATACCGCATTTGCGTCGACGGATTGGCCATCTGCTTCATTCATATTGTCTGTCTGTCTTGTGTGTGTGTGTGATATCTTACTGCGCTAGTTTTGTTTGCCTGTCATTTTCTGCTTCTCAAGAGTTGGCATTGATCATTGAATTTTTTTTTCTTCTTCTATGGCGGTGTCTCTCTGCTTTCTGCCTTTTCTCCTTGTTATGTATGCCATGTCACGTTTCCACCCCCCCCCTTTTTCCCTGTAACTCCACATCCACAAAAGATACGGTACCAGTCCAATCAATCGATCGAATAAATAGTTCGGACCGTATGAGCCTGTATAATAAATACACCCCGCTACCCATCTATCTATCTATCTATGCCTGGAGTTGTTGCTCAGGATGGACTTACTTAGCATGCAATGTAATGTAATAAATAATCTAGCTAGAGGGAGTTCTTTCCAGCCGAGTAGGTGGGTAACTAGTGAGACACTAGGAACGATGACAAACACTACAAGATGGAAGGAAGCGGTCTGGTTAACTGAAATCTAGATTCATTCTTCGTTTCTGTCCCATCGAAGTGAATTGAATTGAATTGAATTCAGCTGTCGAGATTTGCCTGCCGTTCTGTATGTATACTGTATTCTATATTTATATTCCCTCTTTATCTAGGACATACCTCAGGTATGTACACTTCAGCTTCAATAGCTCTCGCCATCCAAATGTGCACTTTTGCGCAGCAGTACTTGTATGTACATACTCATGGCTGTATCATACCGACACCGGTCTCTTAAGAGCCCTCGTGAGGGGCCTGAAATTGGGCGTCATTTCGACTGCTGAGATCAATATCAATCCTGCGATAGGTGAACAATCACCTAGGTATTATTAAAACCATGATCTCTCGCCTCTAATGTCTTTAAGTCATCCACCCCGACGTGATCTTCTACGGCATCAGCCTCCCGTGACCTCGCAACCGCCCAACCGCCCAAGCAGCAGCCAGAGAGTAAGTACCATTTCACCAAAAGGCTGTAGTACAGTACATACAGTACGGCTCCTACCAAGACCGACTGTACCTGATCAACGACCCGGCTACCTATCGACTGCGTCTACTGTATGTCTCGACGACCAACAACGCCCTGCACTTTGAAAAGTGGGCGGCCAAGGCGCTCCGCTCCGGGTGGGAAAGCATGTCACATGCTCTGCGAGAAGCCGTTGACGTCGAATGCTGACGAGGCAAGGTTGTTGGTCCAGTTGGCTGATGAAGGAGTTGGGGCTGGTCGGGCCAGTATGGTCGCATTCTCCGAACTGATGCCCTCATGACGAGCAATCCTGGCGTTCCAGAGGGGGATATTCGATGGCAGTTTGACCTTTCAGGTGTGTACATACATCAATTCGTCACTGTCTATTAATGTGAACTTTTGCTGACGGACTACTACTGTCAGGCGGCTCCCTGATGGACATGAGCTACGCCCTCGAAGCGACCAACCCAAGGAGATCCAATCCAATCCGCCGTGGCACGACCATACGCCAAAGACAACCTTGTTGACGAGGCCATGCACGCGCTGCTCCTATTCGAGAGCCCGCACGACGGCCATCTCATCCAGAGCCGCATCTACACGGACATGGCGCGGCACTGGGCCGTGTGCAACACCGTGCCACGCATCGCATCTGGGAACTGCCCTCGATCGAGGTCGAGATCGTCTACTTCTACAACGCCCTCATGCCGCACCTGTACCACTACATCGACGTCACGGACAAGACGACCGGACTGGCCGCACGCAGTACCAGAAACAGTAAAGCGGTGGTCCACGATGGGGGCGAGACCTGGACGACTGGAGGCGGCGGAAGGGGGGGGGGGGGGGGGGGGGGGCAAGGTCCTTCTGGAGCACGTGCTGTACCGCTGGCACTGCCACTCGAGGCGTTTGTCGACAAGGTTAGGAAGAAGAAGACGCCGCCGTGCTGGATCCCGGGGGAGGAGAGTATCGCGCAGATGGAGGCCATTGATGCGATCTACCGTGCGGCTGGGTTTCCGGTGCGGCCATCCAACGTGTTGGAAAGGGAGGAGGGGTAGTGTGGGCCAGATATGAAAAGTGAAATAGATAAACGAGAGGGATGTGCAGTTCCATGGATGTAGTGTACGTAGTATATGTACTGTACAGTGCGTAGGATATATCTTAATCGATTCTTGTCTGAAGTATTATGTAGTATAGAAGCTACCATGATATAATAAAATAAATATTTACTTTCCTATCGCTATCTATCTATCTATCTATCTAATAATAATTAGTCCTAAATATCTCTAATAGCATTAATTACCTATCTAGATTCTGGACCAAGGGACAATCAACCAGTTATGGCAGAAACACAACCGTAATCATTGCACTAATAATAATTCTTAGGTACATTAGTTTTGTACTACAGAAATAAACGGACAATAAAAAAAGAAGAGAGAGAGAGAGAGAGAGAGAGAGAGAGAGAAGAGAGAACAAAACAAAACA